GAATTTCTGAGGCACTGACAAAGGTTATATGACTTGTCCATTGTCTGATAGCCAGTCTGTGTCAATGGAATTGTCCCATAGTTCCAATTATAACCTAGTTTTTGTCATATAAAACTTATTTCCATAATTTTTAGTTTTATTTTTATCAAATACATTTTTATTGACAAATTTTGTTTTTTTTACATCACCAAAATTTTACCCACTATCCTCTCCTTCTAGAGAGTCATCTCATATAACAATATTTTAAGAAGAGAAAAAAAATCAGCAAAACTAATAAATATTGCAAAAAAACTGAAAATATGTACAATGTACTACCCACCTTTACAAAGAAGTGGGATGGATGTATCTTTTCATATCTCTTTTGAGCCATGCTTGTTCTTCATAATTTTGCAACATTTACTTTTGGTTGTTTTGTGGTTCTCTCCATATACATTACTGTAGTCATTGTTTATTGTATCTTGACTCTGCCTAATCCACTTTGCATCAGATTGTGTAAATTTTTCCATGCTTTGTCTTCATCATCCTCATATTTTCTTGCAACTTAGTAATATTCTGCTTCTTTCATTTACCACAATTAAAAAAAACTTCAGCTGTTCCCCAGTTGATAGTTATCTACTTTGTTTTTGGTTCTGTGTTGTACACGTGTAGTCATGCAAAACTCATCCATAGTAGTCATGATGTAAAAGAAAACACAGACAAAAAAAAAAACCTCAAGAAAAATAAAATAAAAAAAAAGTATGCTTCAATCTGTATTCAGACAACATCAGTTCTTTCTCTGGGGATGGGTAGCATTTTTCATCGTAAGTCCTTCAGAGTTGTCTTTGCAACTCTGGATCACTGCAATACCAGTATTCTTTGGAGAGTGAGAACATTCTATTACTCTTTTGCTTCTTTGTGTCATTTGAAGCATTATTGTAATTGTAGTCAGTTTTTAGGATATGAACATTTTGGTTGTGTAACATTTTGTGAGAGAATATTTATGCCACTCCCAAAACTCAGAAGCTGCAGTTACACTCCAGTGCCTCCAGGATCAAATATAGATTCCTTTGTTAGCTATTCAAAAGCAAATTTACATTCTGATTCTGGCCTATGCACTACTCACGCTGGCCTCCTTGCTGTTTCTCATATCCTATATACCATCTCCTATCTCCTGTGCATTTGAACAGACTCTGTCCCTGAGACCTGGAAAGCTCTTCTTTCTTACCTCTACCTTTTGGAATCCCTGTTTCCTTTTTATGCTCAGTTTAAGTAGAACTATTTGAAAGAGGTCTACTGTGATTTACCAGTTGTTAGTGGTACCTACCACCAACCAGATCACATTTACACTTATTTTATATATATGTTTTCTGCATTTACTTAACTATGAACATGCTGCATCCCCTGTAGAATATAACTCCTTCAGGGCAAGGATTATTATTCTGTCTTTTATATTTCTATTTCCAGCGCCTCACATAGAGCTAATATGTAGGAAACAATAACAATTACTTGATTGATTGAATATGTGTGTGTTTGAATATAACTTTCTTATGGTAATTTTGGTGTCTAGACTTGATTACATAGTTGGCATGCTCATGTAGGATAGGGGTAGGATTTTTTGTTAGTTTTTTGAAAAAAAAAAGCTGTTATACTTTTTGTTATAATTATGGTAGATGTGTTTTTAAGCAAGGAGGTACTTACTGTTGCATCCTGAGGTGGATTATGTGAGCTTAACAAAAGTGCTGTTTTTGCATGAATGCATACATTGTGAAAAATAATGGATTTGTATAGTTGAGTAGGGTGTATACAAGGAATAATAGCTAACATTTTTATAGCGCTTTAAATTTTGCAAAACACTTTACATAAGTTAACTTGTTTGATCAGGAATTAGGTTCTATGGAATTTGTATCGATCCAAAATTTTAGATAAAATGATCACTTATCAGGTATATTGTAGGGGGATTTATTCTTCAGGTAGGAGTTAGGATAGATTACTTCCATATGTAAGATTACTTGAGTCAGGGATATGAACTAAGAAGGCTGTTGCATTTGGTGGTGAGTAGTACAAAGGGAAGGAATACACATAAACATTTTACTTGTTTCAAAATACTGCTATCTTTTTTTATATCACCTTCATTTTCTTTTCTTTTTTTTTTGGCTAGGCAATGAGATTAAGTGACTTGCCCAGGGTCACACAGCTACTAAAGCATTAAGTGTTTGAGGTCTCATTTGAACTCAGGTCCTCCTGACTCTAGGGCTAGTGCTGTCTCCACTGTGCCATCTAGTTGCCTCTTATCACCTTCATTTTCAAATACATCTCCCCCCTCCCTGCCATCCCTTATAACAAAGAAACAAAAAGAAAAATACAGTTCAGTAAACAAAAAAAAACAAAAAAACAACGAAAAACCAAAAACCAACATGTCAACCAAGTCATATAACATATATATAGTCTTGAGTCTCTGTCTGTCTCTCACTCTCTAGTACATAGTACATTAGTCCCCCACCTCTTCAAAGGGAGAAAGTACATTCTAATATCTCTTCTGTGGGGACAAGCTTAGTCTTAAATAATATTTCCCTTTTTTTTGTTCTTTCTATTTACATCATTATAGTTTTTGTGTATATTGTTTTCCTGGCCCTGTTCACTTCACTTTCATCAGTTCTTAATAATTTTCTTAATAATTTTTTATGTTTCCCCATATTCCTTATATTCATTATTTCTTACACAGCAATAATATTCTGTTACATTCAAGTACTACAATGTGTTTAGCCTTCACAATCCAGAGACATCAACTTTGTTTCTATTTCTTTGCTATGATAAAAATTGCTGCCATAAATATTTTGGTATAAATAGGGTCTTTTTATTTTTGATCTCCCTGGGGCATATGCCAAGCCTTAGAATCTCTAGGTCAGAGGGTTTGGCTATTGTAGTCACTTTCTTAGTGTAATTTCAAATTGCTTTTCAGAATCTTTGCTGTAGCAGCAGTATGTTAAGTTTTGTATAGCTCCTAAACATTGAACATTCACATCTTTTGTCATCCTTGCTATTTTGCAGGGTTTGAGGTGAAAGCTTAAGTTGTTTTGATTTTCATTTATCTTCTTTGTGACCTGGAACGATCTTTCACACTATATAGTTTATAGTTTGTAATTCTTTTGAGAATTGCTTATTTTTATCCTTTTATCCTCATCCATTTGTACCTTTTCACTGAAGTCATTGAATATTTAAATTATATTTAATTCAGAGATTGTTATTGCTCCTTTGTGGAAGTTCTTTCTTTGTATTTCATAAGCTGCAATTATTTTCATTATTTTGGCCAGTACTTGGGAATAGTGTATGTCTTATGAAATGATGTTTTTTGGGGGGAATTACATGTACTTATGTAAGTATATATAGAATGAACACAAGCTGGTTAAACACGATTTGTGAGGAAGGGAAAAATCCTAGAAAGTTTGAGGGAATTGGGATTTATTTATTTACCTTTTCTTTTTTTTTAAATTTTTTTTATTTTTAACATGTGTTTTTGAAACTTTGGGTTACAAATTTTCTCCCTTCCTCCCTCCCCACCCACCCTCATTGAAAAGGAAAGCATCTAGATACAGGTTATAGATGTGTAGTCATGGAAAACACTTCCATAGTAGTCCTGTTGTGAAAAACTAAGTATATTTCCCTTCATCCTATCCTACCTTCCATTTATTATAGGCTCTCTTTTGACCCTGTTCCTCCTCAGAAGTATTTGCTTTTGATTATCCCCTCCCTCAATCTGCCCTCCCCTCTATAAACCCCCTGCTCTCTTGTCCCTTTCCCCCCTTATTTTCCTGCAGAGTAAGATAGATTTCCACACCCCATTGTGTATGTTATTCCCTCCCTAAGCCTTAAGTCCTCTACTTCATTGAATGACCATTTTTCACCCTGAAGGATTATACTCAGTTTTGCTGGGTAGGTGATTCTGGGTTGTAGACCTAACTCCTATGCCCTCCGGAATATCATACTCCATGCCCTCCGGACCCTCTAATGGTGTGTTCACTTTTCTTCTTTGGACAAAGATCTACCATTTAGAGTTCCAATAGCAGTTATAAGCTGTATTTGTAAATTGTGTAGAAACTTCATGATTTTTAGTACTCTGCTAGCATTGCTGTACCTCTCTCTCCCAACATAAGTGAAAGAAGCCTGCCGTGACCTCAAAGTCATTTCACATTTATTTGTCTTTGTTTTGTGGACTGCCAATGAATTTAAGTGGCCAGCCTCATAATGATGTGCATTTCTGTATTTAAATTTAAATAAATAAACTTGAAAAACTGACTTAGTCTTTTGCTGACACCACAGTTAAAGAGATCTTTCTAGGCACAGTAGATTCTACTTTGAGCTTGTACTCTTTTGGCATCCCTCTGAGAACCTCAGTTCATCTCCACACCACTAGGAGGCGTTGGAATTGGACTTTGTGGAGTGACACTGAAAATAGCCCTCTGATTAAAAATAATTCAAGGGGCAGCTAGGTGGCACAGTGGATAGAGCACCGGCCTTGGAGTCAGGAGGACCTGAGGTCAAGTGCGGCCTCAGACCAAACACTAGACACTTACTAGCTGTGTGACCCTGGGCAAGTCACTTAACCCCAATTGCCTAAAAATTAAAAAAAAAATTTATTTACCTCATTAATTGTTAGCCCCAGAATAGACATTCAGGAATACTTATTGATAGAACTGGAAGAATATCTGCTCTGCGTTAAATAAGAATATGAATCTTAGTGTAATTTTTTGGAATTATGGTTAGTAATACAACTAATAGAGAACAAAATGTTATTAGTTTGTCCAGATAGCTATAATTAATAAGATCACCTTTTAATCAAAACAGCATTTGCTAAATGTGTATATTTAACTTTTTGACCTATAAATGAAAGCTGCTGAATATTTGAAAACTATAGGGTATTAACATTTTTTTTTATAGTTTGGTTATACTAGTTATATTTGACATGTCTGTATTTTAAAAAATATATAGTTATCCAAGACCACCTTTTTGGTTTTTCATTTCAGGAGCTGTTGCAGTGGCATGGCAGAATCCTTTAGTAAGTTGGTTTAGTGCTATGATGCACTGCTTTGGAGGGGGAATTTTGTCTGCTATTCTGCTTGGAGAGGCTCCAGTAAAATTCCTTGAAAATAACACAAATGTCTTATTGGCATCTTCAATCTGGTAAGTAGCAACTATAGGAGAGTATGACACATTCATAAAAATGTTTTCAGAACTGCTCTTGTATTGAAAGCATCTCAAATTTGGAAAATCCCTAAGGAATCATAAAAATTATAAATAAGAGTTCCACCACTTACTTCATGGGGTGATTTTTGTCAGTCTGAAGTCTATGTTCATTTAATTTTCCTGGGAAACACTTTACAAATTTATTCAAATGGATAATAATTATGTTAAAAACACATTAAGCTACATCAGAATTAACTCATATTTTGTTGATCATTCTCATTGATTCTGTAATTGAATGTTTAAGTAGTCACATTAGTTGGCTCATTACTTAAAGATACTCCGTATAATATTGCCCTGACCAGTACAACTTAATAATGCACCCATTAAGAAATTATAGTCAAAATCTGGTATAAAATCATAAAACTTTACAATAATATTTTTGGCTAATTGTTTATGTATGACATTGTTTTCCTCTTATCCCATTCAAACCTAATTAATAGTGATAGGCAGTACATGCCTGTATTTATTAGTAAAACTTATTAACAGGAAGAGCCAAGAGGAAATACTTTTTCAGATGTGTTCAGACAGTATAAATACCGAACCCTGAGTGGTATTAATTATTCACTTAAGTAGAATTGCTTAGCCTTTAGTTATGATACTTCAGTGCTTTATTGGATTTTGAATCTCACTGATATCTCTATACCTTTCAGTTTTACAGGTAGTAACCCATTTGCTCTCTCTCATCCTGTGCTATTTTTGTTTACGTCTTCTCCTAAAACCCCCATAGAAATGATACTTAGTATGAAGAAGGATTTTTCTAGGACTTTTTAGCATTTTATGATTGTGAGAAGAACACTTAAGATAGCCATCATTTATCACTGATTCTTACTGCATGATCGAACCACCCCTTTTCTGATCATACTTCCGTATAATTTTACATAATTTATTGCATAAAATCATTATTAGTAATATGCTGCAGCATACTTATACCTACCGTGCATCTCTCTTCATTGCCCTTTTAGTCATTGGCCATTTTGATTTCTTGGAGCTTGCAGTGTTCACCATGATTCATAGCCACAGAACATTACCAAGAGAATATTTGTGTTAATATGGTAGAATTTTGTGTCAAGTAGCAGATTGGTATTGTAGAAAGGTTTGCACAATCTCCCATATTCATTCTACCCCACTGTCTTCCTTCTGTTTAATTCTTTTTATAAAACATTTTTTTAAAATGTCATTTGCTTTTACATCACAATCATTCCCAGAGGTGTCTTCTTCCTTCACTTTCCTACCTGTGAGCTATCCCTTGTAACAAAGATTTAAAAAAAAAAAAAAAAAAGCAGTTCAACAAAATTAACCAACTCATCAACTGTGCCTGGCTGCACATGTTAAATCCTATATCCATAGTCTCCCACCTGTGCCATTAAGGGAGGGAGGTAGGTACTTTTCTCAAATCTTCTATGCGGCCAAACTTGAATATTATATAGTATTGTTTCTTTTTTTGGGGTGGGGGGGTTCTTTTTACTGTTGTATTTATTGTATATTTTGTTTTCCTTTTTCTGCTTGCTGTACACTGCATCAGTTTAGGTCCTGTCAAATTTCTCTGAATTCTTCGTATTTGTAATTTTAAAAAAATTATGTTTTTATTATAAACTTAATCATCAACAAACATGGCATGTAGTAGACACTTAATAAATGCTTATTAAACAGTAGTCACTAAACATTTATTAAATGCCTGCTATATGCCATTAACAAACATTTCTGTATGTAAAGAACAAAAAGGAGGCTTGTGTATGGAACCTTGAACTTTGTTACGTAGTTTTTTTGAAAAAGAATATATTAAATTTAACATGATAGTAAGAAAATTGCCCTGTTTATATGTGTTCCCTTCTGAGATTTTTTTTTCATTCATTTTTAATGTTTTACTGGCCATCTTTCTTCTTTTTTGATCTTTATCTCTATCCAGTAAACAACCCCGCAAAAAAACCCCTTTTTCCCTCAGTAGAAGTCTCTCATATAACAAATAAGTATAGTCAAGCAAAACAGTTCAACCTATTGGCCATGTCTTAAAATGTATGCCTCATTTTATACCTTTAGTTCATTACCACATTGCCAGAGTGGGGTGGCATGCGTGATTCATTATTGGTCTTCTGAAGTCATGATTGCTTTGATAAGAGTAAAGTAGTCTTTTAAAATTGTTTTTGTTTTTGTTTTGTTGTTGTTGTTGTTGTTGTTGTTGTTTTTAAGGCTATTGGGGTTAAGTGACTTGCCCAGAGTCACACAGCCAGTAAGTGTTAAGTGTTTGGTCTGAGGCCAGATTTGAACTCAGGTCCTCCTGACTTCAGGGCCGGTGCTATATCCACTGCTCCACCTAGCTGCCCCTTTTTTTGTTTTGTTTTTGTTTTGTTTTAAAATTGTTTTTCTTCACATTTTTATGGTCATTTTTAAAATATTTTGATCTTTTATATTTAGATTATTTATATTCAGGTTATTTGGATCTTATATGTGGTATAAGATGTTGGTCTAAAGCTAAATTTCTGCCATACTGCTTACTAACTTTGTGAGTAGTTCTTGTCAAATAGAGACTCCTTTCCCTCGTAGTTTTATGTTTTGGGGTTTATTGAAAATGGAGTTACTGATCATAGGATCATGGATCTTGAGTGAAATGAGACCTCAGAAACCATCTAGTCCAACTTCTTTATTCTACAGATGAGGAAACTACGGTCTGTAGAGAGTATGTCTTTCTCAAAGTGCCATAGGTAAATAAAAGTCCGAGAAAGGATTGAATTCATATCTTTTGATTCCAGAATCAGTGTTCTTTCTACTGTATTGCTATTGCCAATCAGTTAATCAATAAACATTTATTAAGTGCTTACTATATAGGCCAGGTACTGTGATAAACATTGGGGATACAAAAAGAGGCAAAAGATAGTTCCTGCCTCAAGGAGCTTATAATATAAGTGAGGGACCAAATACACACAGTGTAAGCTATGTATAGGATAAATAAAAAAAATCAACAGAAGGAAGGTATTCCAATTAAGAGGGCATGGAAAAGGCTTCCAGTAAAAGAAAGGATTTAAAGGAAGCTAGGGAGGTCAGTAGATGGAACTAAAGGGGGGCAGTGTTTTCAGCCATGACGGACTGTCAGTGAAAATGTTCAGTGTCAAGAGGTGGAATCTTGTTCATGAAATATCCAGGAGGCCAGTGTCATTGGATGGAAGAATATGTATCTGAGAGTAAGGTATATGCTAAAACCATAGTTGAGTGTGATTTTTTTTTTTGATTCTTGATTTTATCCAGTTGGTTCCACTAATCTGTTTTTCTGTTTTTTAACTAGTGCCTAATAATTTTGATGATTACTGCTTTATAATATAATTTGAGGTCTTGAAGTGCAATTCTCCCTTCATTCCTATTTTTTTTTTTTTAGGCAATTGGGGTTAAGTGACTTGCCCAGGGTCACACGGCTAGTAAGTGTCAAGTGTTTGGTCTGAGGCTGGATTTGAACTCAGGTCCTCCTAATTTCAGGGCCAGTGCTCTATCTACTGAGCCACCTAGCTGCCCCCTTCATTACTATTTTTAAAAATGATTTCCTTTAATACTCTATAGACCTTATTTTTCCTCCAAATGAATTTTATTATTATTATTATCATCTTCATAAAATAGCCCCTTGGTAGTTTGATTGGTTTAACATTACATTTCTACATTAATTTAGGTAGCAATGTAATTTTTATTATATTGTCACAGCCCAACCAGGAACAGAGACATTTAAGTCATTCTTTTACTAAACAATATTATGTAATTGTTTGTATAAAAATCTTATGTATTTTGTGGATTGATTCTTAGATACTGGGGAAACTTCTTTTTCCAAATCTACTTGTCTCTTAATTGCCTCATCTGATGATGTCAGTCCCTATCCTTCTTGACCTAACTAAAGCATCTGATACTGTGGTCTACTCTCTTTTCCTGGATATTGGGTTTTCACAACCCCTGTCTCACTCTTATTTTTGTGCTCTTTCTCACTCTTGGCACTTGACCCCCTCCCCCAACTTTTCTGATCTCTCAGTCTCCTTTGCTAGATCATCATTCATATCTGACTCCCAGCTGTGGTATACCCCAAATCTCTGACCAGGGTCTTCTTTACTTTTTTTTTTCCTGGACACACTCTTTCTTTGGTTACCTCAATTGTCATCTCTGTGCAGATGATTTCCAGAGCTATATGGCTGTCCTTAGTCAGGCCCACATTTATTGTGTATTGGATATTGAATAGGCAGAAGTCTCAAAGACATCTCAAATTAAGCTTGTCCAAAATGGAACTCATTATCTTTCCCCAAATTTTGCCCCTCTTCCAAGCTTCCCTTTTTTTCTGTGCAGAGTATTACCTCACTCTAGTCATTCAGGTTCCTAACCTTGAAATCATTCTTGAATCCTTATCTTCCGCGTGCCCCACAACCAATTCTGACAGATCTTGTCAGTTTAACCACTTCATTTCTCATGTTTATCACCTTCTCTCCACTCTCACATGCACCCTTTCCCACCTCCAAACCTCCCACTTCATTCAGTCCCCATCACTTCTCATGTAGATATTGCAGTAGCCTCCTGATTGGTTTCCCTGCCTCAAGTTTCTTCCCTCTTCAGTTCATTCACCATAGGGCCGACAAAATGTCATGATATTCTTAGAGCTTAGGTACAATTCCTTTTCTTTGGCCTTGCTATAGCACCCTAGACACTACTGGGTTTTACTATGTCCCTTGCTATTATTCCACCTTGTTTATTAGGCCTTACTAATCAGTCAGGAAACATTTATTAAGTGCCTACCATATGCCAGGTACTGTACTATGCACTGGGGATACAAAAAAAAAGCAAAAGACATTCTCTACCCTTGAGGAACTCACAATATAATGGGAGTAATAACATCTTCTGTACTGCTATCCCTTTCAGACCCCTGAGCATCGTCATCTGCCTTGTTGCTAAACTCTGAGGATGACTGGGCCATTTTA